CTCTAACCGTCTCTTTGAGAACCTACACTTTCCACCAGGCTACGAGTATTTTCTGTTAAGCTCTTCCCCACTTACTAAACCTTTGCTAGCAATTTCAAATTAATAAACCAGGTAAGTATTCATCAGAGGAGGATGAGAATCTGCTGTCCCATCAGAAGTAAGACTAACCGATCTACAAAATAAGTATGTCCCCATCTCTGAGCCTGAGGATGAGGGTTTTCAAGGGTACATATGGCATAATTGGCCCCCACCCCTTTGCCCTGGGAGTGCCTCAGTACTCTTTATTTAAAAAATAGTTCTCCCTTCATTAGACTGGTCTTGATTTTACATTCATCTCCATTCTTGTGTGCTGCCATCTTCCCTTGATCTTCTGGACAGCTTCTGTGGTACCTGATTTATTATGTCAGACTCTGGGACTCCTATAGCCTTATTCCGTATCCTGCATGGTGAAGAGTGGAAGATGGTCCACTAGAGAAGCCTTGTCTAATGTGGGTATGATACTGTGTGACTTGTGCCATAACCCAGCCACATTCCAGCACTTGGGGAACATCTTGCCAACCTGCTGGAGTGATGTTTAGATGATATTAATGACAGTTTCCCACAATATAATATTTCTTTGGCTCCTCTCCAGTAAATGAGAATTTCATGATGCTGGACAGGATTCTAGAGTGGGAAGCCTCTTAAGTAAGCATCTTTTGGATTTTGATCACTCTCACTGAAGGTTCTTAATCCATTCTCGCACCATAGCTGCCTGGATAAATTACTTCTTCAATAAGTCTTAGGGATTATCTAGTTTTCCAAGACCATTGAAATTGTCCAGTGGCTAATGATTCTATTTACCTACCATCTGATCCTGGCATATTTTGATCCAGTTTGGCCTCACATAACTGAGACACAGTTAAATGCTAGAGGCCATTTTCCAGGAGGTTTTGGTTCTAGGGATCCTTGCCTCTGTGTCTGTTTCTGAAAGAAGTTGATCTCAGTGAATATGAGCTGCTCCAATTGGGAATAAGAATTGTTTGTCATTCAAATATCATATGTGTGCACGTATAGGAGGATTAGGAGGAACTTAACAGAGGACCAAGGAGGAGAAGAAGGGCGGAAATGGTGGGGGAAAGGGGGAGAGGCAAACCATGAGAGACTCTTGAATGCTGACAAAAACTGAGGACTGATGGATGTGGAGGGGAGGAGGGATGGGCATGGAGGAGGGCACTAGTGGGGATGAGCACTGAGTGTTATGTGGAAACTAATTTGACAATAAACTATTTGTAAAAAAAAAAAAAAAAAGAATTGTTTGTCATTAAGACTTCATTTCAGGCTTGGAAACACTATATCAAAGAGTCCTGGCATCTAATGAGAATATTCTGGGACCCCTACAGCCTAGACCAGCTGTTGAAAACACAGAAACTTAGGGTGCGCCTGGGTGGCTTAGTCGGTTAAGCGTTCCGACTTTTGATTAGGTCATGATCTCGCGGTTCGTGGGTTCGAGCCCCACGTCGGGCTCTGTGCTGACTGCCAGCTCAGAGCCTGGAGCCTGTTTCAGAGTCTGTGACTCCTTCTCTCTCTGACCCTCCCCTGCTCACGCTGTCTCTCTCTCTCTCTCTCTTTCCTAGAAATAAATAAAACATTAAAAAATTTTTTTAAAAGAAAACACAGAAACTTAGTCCCCAATAAGCTAAAATCGTGTCTTTTTTTTTCAAGGACTTTAGTTTAACCTACTATATATTCCAGGCATATAGAGTTAGAGTCACTGATGTCCTGGAGCTTAGTCATAATCTGAGCAAATGTCAAATAAAGTGTCTCTGAGATAAGTTTCAGCAGGCCAAGGCTGGTAAAAGACACACATTGATCAGAACCTGATAGTGCTAAGAACATATAGGAAGGAAATATCTCCTCTCAACACCAAAGAAATACCCACCATGATGGAAGTGAGAGGACGTCTTGCTGGGGCCCTTCACACTGACTTTCTGGCTGTAATTGACTCCCTCCAAGTCACTTTTTCCCCATCTCTGCCCTTGGGCTGCAGTAACCTCCTTTATGTCACCCCAATACTATTGCCAGCTCCAGGACTTGGCCTTCTAAAAGGAATATGACTTTGAACAGCAGTGCTTGGGATCTGTGTCTTGCAGTGTTCCAGCAGGTAAACTCAAGGAACTCCCAGCTTTACTCCTTTTCAGGGGAGGGGAATCTGATATGATGGATTCTTAATAACTTCATTACCGCCATAATCTCACCATAATCATACCATCACTGCTTTTATAGTACCCTATAAAAGACTATCTCGTACAGCTGTTCCTTTCTCCTGCTTTTGATTCACTACAATATGCTTAATATTTAGGACTTTCCCTTGCTTCCAAAAACCTTCTTTATTCTGGCATGAATTTTAGTCCTTTAACTTCATACCGGAAGCATTTATTAACATAGCTCTGAATCAGGCTTTAATAGAATTAAATAAGAATGTTGATGGAAAGAGATCCTCATGTATTGATTAACAACTATCCTGGCCTAGAGATGGTCAAAGCTCTATTGAAGGAAGACTTACTTAACTGTATGGAAACTTGCTTAACTCCATAGGTTACATTCATACTTTTGTCAAAAATTCCTACTGATTTTCTTCCCCATCAGAAGTCTTATGGTAGTTTTTTCAACGTCTCAGAAGTTTGTGAGAAAATGACTAGGATCTGGTTCACAGTATGCAAATTCAACTAGAGAATAGTTTAATTATTTCCCATGAATGATGAATTAACTCTGAAGAGATAAAATTTCAAAGATATTCTCACTATTTTCAAAATTAACAAATTCTTTGCTCTAGATACGATACAGTTAAATAATATGTGCATCAAATTTTGTACCTGGAAGGATCCTTAGGGTCAGTGATGATGGAGACTTGCAATGGCAAGGCAGTACTGACTGTGGACACCCACTCCCAATTCCACATTTAGCGACAACTTACTGAATACCATTTGAAATTGCCATGGTAGGAGTATTTATACCATGGACATCAGCAAAGGTTACCAGTTAGGGTTCCCCACCCCATGAGACATTTTTCACCAGATTCCCACTGCATAAGCGTCACCTAGAATAAACCAACAACCTCGTTTGTTTTTACTAGATAGAAGATTATTAAGGATTTACTCAAAAAGTCAATCAATTAGATGAACTCAGGACTAGAACCCAATACCTTCACATCCCTTATTTCTGTTTCACATCCCATATCTCTTTCTGATATGCAGTAAGACATTCTAACCCTTTGTATCCAGAATTTAAACTTAATTAACAAAGCTGTGGTAAACTTACTCTACTTCCCTAGGCTTCAGCTTCCTTATCTATAACATAAGGGTTTGGATTTGATTTCTAAAATTTTTTGGCTCTGACATTTCATATAAATTCCACGTTTAAAATTAAGTCTAATAAAGAGAAAAATATAAGACTTACTGCTGTCCTTTAAAAAATGTTTTAAGTATATTTATTTGAGAGAGAGAGACAGTATGAGTGGGGGAGGGGCAGAGAGAGAGGGAGAGAGAGAATCCCAAGCAGGCTCATATTGCCTGTGCAGAGCCTGACTCAGTTCTTGAACCCCTGAAATAGCGAGATCAAGACCTGGGCTGAAACCAAGACTCACACTCTTAACAGTTTGAACCAGGCACCCCCATACTGCTATTCTTTATGGTTGATTTCAGGGACCTAAAGTGGGTCATTACTTCACCAGATGGTACTGTTTTTTGATGGTTAAAGTGACCAGATCTCCATCTTCAGAGAAGATGATGTTTCCTAGTTTCCTGCACTGTTCTTCACCAATAAGGAATAGCATCTCTTTTAAACACTGAAGCCAGATCCTAGCTGTTAAGAGATCTGGGTAAAGTAAATGTAGTATTACTGTTCACTCTAGGTGGACGAGACCTGCTGTAGACCTTTCTTGTATTTCAGTAGGTAGGGGAGAGCGCCTTTTCTAAAACACTGCTTCCAATCTTTATTTATCCTTTTAATGGGGATGGGGGCTGTAATATTTTTGTAGTAGTTTAAAGCCCAGGCCACCTGGATTAAAGTCCCAAGTGCTTTGCTTAACTATATATATGACCTTGGGCAAGATGATTAATTGCTCTGTCCTTCAGTTTCTTCATCTAAAATATGAGAATAATAATAGTACATATTTCCATTCTCATCACAAGAAAAAAGTTTGTAACTATGTATGGTGACAGATATTAACCAGACTTATTGTGGTGATCATGTTGCAATATATTCGAATGTTGAATCATTTGGTTGTTCACCTGAAACTAATATAATGTTATTTCTTTTTTTGTGCATTTGTTTTGGGGTTAATCCATTAAAATTTTTTAATTAAGTTTTTAATTCAATTGCAGTTAACATACAGTATTATATTAGTTTCAATATAGTGATTCAACAATTCCATACATCATCCAGTGTTCATCACAAGTGCCTTCCTTAATCCCCATCACCTAGTTAACCCATCCCTCCACCCACTTCCTCTCTAGTAACCATCAGTTTGTTCCCAATGTAATATTATTTCAATTATACCTCATAAAAAATAATAGCACATATTACATTACATACTGAATGAATGAATATTGCACATGCTTAGAACAGAGTCTGGCATATAATTAATGCCATGTAAATGTGGGCTATTTCTATTGTTATCACTATGCAATCACAGTTGGCCTGGTCAGTTGTGAAATATTTGTTGGGACAGACCATTTGCTCGTAGTAAATGCAGCCAGTCTTTCTGCATCTGGTTTTATGGCTCCTTGTCCCATTACAACCCAGATCCACACCCTGTTGATAAGAGACCGTATGATTTCAGGTCTATATTCATAGAAACCCATTTCTGCTTGAATCTTTGAACTGAAGCGATAAAAAGTTAATTGAATGGAGTTGTACTGAGAAGAGCTGTACTTAGCAGTTCCTTGATAGAAGCGAGTGAATAAATGAGTTTTTATAGTCTGATTTCTTGTGCTTAGTAATTATCTTTGATCTCTTCTCAGAGAGAATGTTATGAGTGGATCACCACGTGTTCTCACCTCCTTTCTGGGCTTAAAGGCAGAAGAATAAAGTTACTGGCATCGGAGGAAAAAGAGCACCTGTTTGGAGAAGAGGTATTTGCCATGTGTTGGCACACTTAGCGTTATTCAGCTTCGTCCTGTATTTCGACAGATAAGGTTTCAGTGACTTTTTCCAGTCAGTGTTCTGAGTCCTCATCTGTTTACTCTACCAGAAGAGTATTTGGCTCCTGACCAAGAGTGTGAGCAGTTCTCCCTTCTAAGGGAGAAGATCATCCACCTAAGTATCTCTCCTCACTTTCTTAGCAGATGATTTTGTTTTATCCTTCATAAAGGAAAGGATGGCTTTCAGAGGGGAGCTGCCTGTCACTTCCTGTCCTCAGACCAGTCTGCTTCTGCGCACACACTTCCTCATCCTCTTCAGGCTCTGTCTTCCATTTAAGGTTATTTCTTCTCTTGAGCACCTAACCCAGCCCATTGTCCTCTCTCTCTTGTATCTTAAAAAAAATTTTTTTTAAGTTTATTCATTTTAGAGAGAGAGAGAGAGAGAGCACGAGCAAGTGGGAGAGAGGCAGCGAGAGGGGGGTATAGAGGATCCAAAGCAGGCTCTGCGCTTACAGCAGAGGGCCCAATGTGGGGCTCCCACTCACGAACTACGAGATCATGACCTGAGCCGAAGGCAGACACTCAACGGATGGAGCCACCCAGGCACCCTGTGGGAGGACTCGTTTTATATTTATTTATTTTTTTATTTTTATTATTTTTTTTAATGTTTTTTTTTTTTTTTAAATTTCTAGGAGAGAGAGAGAGAGAGAGACAGCGTGAGCAGGGGAGGGTCAGAGAGAGAGGGAGTCACAGATTGAAACAGGCTCCAGGCTCTGAGCTGGCAGTCAGCACAGAGCCCGACGCGGGGCTCGAACCCCCGAACCGCGAGATCATGACCTAAGCGAAAGTCGGACGCTTAACCGACTAAGCCACCCAGGCGCCCCACTCGTTTTATATTTAAACACTGATGAACCACCACCTTTCTAAATTATATGCATTTTACAAATGCTTATTTTATTTTATTTTATTTTATTTTATTTTATTTTATTTTATTTTATTTTTTTTACTGCCCAGATCTTTTACTGGCCAGGATTATTTTGAATTAACCACTGAATGATTTTTAGAAAATTAAGTACCACAGATGTGATCTTGGCTATATAATAGATCTATGAAAAAATTAAATTCAAGACTCTACAGACTCATAGGGACTTAAGAACAGAAAGGACTTTAAAGGTGATTGAATTCAGCCTAACTTCAGATGTGTGAATCTTTGAATTAACCTCCACCCTTGATCATTATGCCTATGCTTGCATATCTGCAGTGGCAGAGACCTACTTTCAGAATTGGCCATTTGTTTCGGTGAGCAGTCACTGGTAGGATGTCATTCTTTCTATTGAGCTAGATGAAATATGTTTCCTTATAACTGTTTCTACTCACTGGCCCATGTTCAGTCTTCTGGGTTGGTATGAACAAGGTGGATTTGTCTTCCACATTATAGTATTTCCAGTATTCCACAGTGTAGTGTTTTCCAACATTTGAAAATAGCCATATTCAACTTAAGTCTTTTCTGGAATTTTTTTTTTCTATTAATCGATCTCTTCATGGCTCATCATCACAATATTTTAAGTTTTGAGGCATTATGATGCATTTTCATGTCTGGTAGGGTCAGCTCTCTTCACTGATCTTTTTCAGGGATTTCATCACTATTTTTGCTTATTTATTCTATAGAACTCTATAATCTACCTCTAGAAAAAATAGGAATTTTGAAGACTGAGATCATGCTAAATTTATATATCAGCTTAGAGCAGAGATACTTACGTTGTTGGGTTGTCCTATCCAAAGATATGGGCATGTCCCTTTTAAAGGATGTCTCCTTTTAATGCTTTTTAATAATGTTATATAGTTTACTCATTTTGCACATTTCATATGAGGTTTATGCCTGAATATTTCATTTTATTTTGTTGCTATTTTAAATGATATCATGTTTTCCATTGTATCTTCTAATTGGGAACTGTGTACATGTTATTGATCTCTGTATTTTAATTTTATATTCTGTGACTTACTGAATTATTGTTTTCAGTAGTTTTTCAATAGATTCTTTTGGGCTCTCCAGATACTTAATCAAATCATCTACAAATAGAGATAATTTGACCTCTTTCTTTCAATTATTATGGCTCTAATTGCTATTTCTTGTCTAATTGCAATGAGTAATTCTTCCAATTTGGTGTTGAATAGTGGTGGCAATACCAAGCATTCTCTTCTTATTTATGACTCTAGCAGTAATGCGTTTAGTAACTGGAGTTGATTTTTTGTTAAATTTTTTTTTAAGTTTATTTATTTTGAGAAAGACAGAGACAGTGTGAGGGGGAGGGGCAGAGAGAGAAGGAGAGAGAGAATCCCAAGCAGATTCTGTGCTGCCAGTGCAGAACCTGATGTGGGGCTTGAACTCACAAACTGTGAGGTCATGACCTGAGCCCAAACCAAGAGTCAAATGCTTAGGTGACTGAGCCACACAGGTGCCCTATTTTTTGTTTAGTTTCTTTTTTTTTTCAAAAAAAAAATTATTTATGTTCATTTATTTTTGAGAGAGAGGCAGAGCATGAGCAGGGGAGGGGTAGAAAGAGAGGGAGACACAGAATCTGAAGAAGGCTCTGATACATGTGAGTGTGGGGTTCCTTTTCTTCTTAAATTTTTCTGGTGATTCTCTTGGTTTCCAGAATCTTGGGGGTGGTATCTTTAATTAGATATGGAAAATTCTGTTATTGTCTCTTTAAATATTGTCTCTATTATATTTGGTCTCTCCTTTCTTTCTGGAACTCTAAATGGATATGTATTAGAATCTATGCCCATGCCTTTGAACCTTATTTCATATTTTCTGTCTCTCTGCATCTGCATTACATCCTGAATAATTTCATCTGGCTTACTTTCCTGTTCACTAATCTCCTATTCAACCTTTCTATTCAGTTTAATAGAATAGAACTGAATAGATTCTTTAATCTATTTGGTTCTTTTTCAAGTCTGATCATTCTTGTAATCTTTGTTTCTGTATTCACATTTTAAATCTCTTATTTCTTTAGACAGCTTTAATATAACTTTGTAGTCTATTTGATAATTCTAATATACAATATATCTGTAAAGGAATGTTAATCACAAAGTGGACAGCTATTGCAAAAGAATAAAACTGGACCACTTTCTTACACCATACACAAAAATAAATTCAAAATGGATTAAAGACCTACTGCAAGACCTGAAACCATGAAAATCCTAGCAGAGAGCACTTGAGATAATTTCTGCAGCATCAGCTGTAGTAACATTTTCCTGGGTACATCTCCTAAGGCAAGGGAAACAAAAGCAAAAATAAACTCTTGGAACTACTTCAAAATAAAAAGCTTCTGCACAGCAGGACGCCTGATTGGCTTAGTCAGTTGAGCATTTGACTCTTGATTTTGGCTCTGGTCATGAATCCTGGGATTGTAGGATTAAACCCTGCATTGGGCTTTGCACTGAGCATGGAGCCTGCTTAGGATTCTTTATCTCTCCCACTCTACCCCCTCCACTGCTTACCTGCTCTCTGTAAAAAAAAAAAAAAAAAAGAGGAAAAAACTTCTGTACATCAAAAGGGAATAATTAGCAAAACTAAAAGAGGACTACTGAATGGGAAAAGATATCTGCAAATGTCAGTTCCAATAAAGGATTAGTATCCAAAATATATAAAGAACTTCTACAACTCAATACCAAAAAACCACATAATCCAATCATAACCAATGAGATATAAACCAATGAGATATCACTTCACCCTTGTCAGAATGGCTAAAATCAAAACTACAAGAATAAGAATCGTTGGTGAGAATGTGGAGAAAAAGGAACCTTTGTGCACTATTTGTAGGAATGCAAACTGATGCAACCACTGTGGAAAACAGTATGGAGTTTTCTTAAAAAATTAAAAATAAGATTGCCATGTGATCGAATAATCCTATTATTATTTAAGCAAAGAATATGAAAACACTAACTCAAAAAGATACATGCACCCCATGTTTATTGTAGCATTATTTATTATAGCCAAACTATGGAAGGAGCCCAGGTGTCCATCAATAAGTGAATGGATAAAGATAATGTGGTACACACACACACTCACACACACACACAAATACACCCACACAAATATTACTTGGCCATAAAAAATAATGAGATCTTGCCATTTGCAACAACACAAATGGATCTAGGGAGTATAATGCTAATTGAAATAAGACAGCCAGAGAAAGACAAATGCCACATGACTTCATTCATATATGAAATTTAAGAAACAAATGAGCAAAATAAAAATGAGACAAATCATAAAACAGACTCTTAACCAATGGTTATCAGAGGGGAGGTGGGTGGGGGTTGATGGGTGAAATAGGTGAAGGGGATTAAGAGCATGCTTACTGTGGTGAGCACTGAGTAATATATAGAATTGTTGAGTCACTGTTTTGTAATATAACACTGTATATTAATAATGCTGGAGTTAAAATAAAAACACTAAATTCCAGCATTATTTGTAATACCAAAATACAGATCTTTCTTGATTTACGTTGATGTTATGTCCCAATAAACCCATTGTGAGTTGAAAATATTGTTAAGTTGAGATTGTGTTTAATGCAGCTAACCTGCCCAGCATCATAGCTGAGCCTAGCTCACCTTAAGTGTGCTCAGAACACTTATATTAGCCTGTACTTGGGCAAAATCATCTACCACAAAGCCTATTCTATAATAAAGTGTGAATATCTCATGTAATTTATGGAATACTCTATTGAAAGTGAAAAACAGAATACTGAGAACAAACTGAGGACTGATGGGTGTGGGGGGGAGGGG